ATCCATCCATCCATCCATCCATCCATCCATCCATCATAAGTAAGACAAACTTTACTTAACTATAAAACAAACTTCCAAGGCAGGACAGAAACTTCACAGGAAATCGAGAGACTTAAGCCCTTAATTTGGCAAAGAGTTGACAACAATACATTTACAAATAGCAAGAAACTTCTTCAGCCACTAAATTCAAGCACTGAAGCTGGAATATTTACTTTGGCTAAGCTTTCTGGAAAAAAACATAAATATGTTGCTGTAAGGGGGCCCAAGGGCTGTCATAATTATATTAAAGTCAGAACGAGCATCTTACAAAAGGAATGTAGTTTTTAAGTCTGTCTGCAGTTGACTCAAGAGCTGTGTGAAACACACCACCAGTAGGTGCTTTTCATCTTCAAAGAGCTTGTAATTAATCACTTCTTGCAACACACCTGTGAAGCAAGGAGTCTATTCCCACTGTCCAAAAGCAAGAGCAATAGGAAGGTGGGAAGGACAATATGGCTGTGGGCAGAACCAATGACAGAGGGGCTACTGATTAGGTTCCATACACACAGTCATTAAATGACAGACTCTTCTGGTGATATAACTATTCACACAGGCAGTCAGAAAATGAGGAATAGAAAACATGCTGGACCTACATTTCCTTCAGAGCGTTCCTCTTGAGCTTGGTACCAGGAGAAGGTGAACTCTCCACGCACTCAGCAAAATAATCAGACACTCTGTGGAGGGCTCTTTTTGTCTACTCCAAAAGATAACAAAGGTTCAAACAGGAGTCTATTAGCTGAACACCAGAGAAAACAGTTACACTAGGAAAGCTCAGATGGATAGATTTATTTTGCAAATACTAAATAAAAGAGACTGCTGTTCTTGGCTGATTCAGCTGCTTTCAGTTGGGTATTTTCTGGTGTGGGTCACAACTGCTTTTGTATTCTTGTCTACTCAATTCATGCACTAATATGTACCATACAAAACTGTAATGTGAAACTGCAAATCCCAAGTCATCTAGAACAATATCTGGTATCTCTGTGGCCCCAAACCCCAAAAGGCAGAGTCCCTGAGCCAGTGGCAGCATGCTTGTGAGAAAACAGTGGACAGCATTCTGACAATCCTGGGATTTTCTCCACATTTCCCCTACTTACCAATATAGCCTCTGTTAACCTTAAAACACTATCAATTTAAACTTTTAATATTGGCATTTTTAAAAAATTGAAGTTTTTCAATCTTGGTTAGCAAACAAACAAACAACAACAACAACAAAAGAACCTAAGAGTCTCTGCCTTTTTATAGTAGTCAGAGCTATGGTTTTATACACAGATTATCTGCCTTTAAAATCATAAGCATGAAGCTTCATAAAGAGGTAATTACAAAATTTAAAAGTCTGCCAACTTTTGCCAGAGCTGACCCATGTAATGCTTTTGAAATTTCTTCCCTTAGGTTAGAAGGTGATAGTCCAGATAAGGTGTTATCAGCTCTTGTTGTCTTGGATACTAAGTAGTCTTACACATCAAATTCGTATAAAATGCTGTGACCCATGAGGAACAGTTTGGTACCTATCAGTAGGTCTTTGTTTAATGTAGGCTTCCTTAGGGAATCAATAGTTATAGTCCCTTTGATTCTGGAGGATGGCAGCCAAAAGTATCATTCCAGTGTATCTCTAAAGCCTTGATCTAATTGGAGCTCACAGTACTAAGTTGGGAAGGTCCATGAGCTCTCAGCCATGACTGTAGCTTCAGACCTGGGCTAGGATCTTTCAAAGGCATGTCCACTTGTAACCTAAATTGGTTTTAATGGTCAGTGAACAGAGTATAACTGGCTTTATTGGATTATATTGCATTGTAGTATGCCATTTCTTTAGTTTGTTGTTTCCTAAAATTAATTTTTGGAAAAAGAATACTTCAAGTTAAGTCAGAGGGGGGAGGCAAAAGAGGGGAGGCTGAGAGAGATTGGGAGCGATGGAGATTTATGTGTGAAACACTTCTAAACATGCCCTGCATGCCCTGTAAATACAGTCGATTTTCTCCTCACAGCCACGCCCTGTAAGTGCTGTATTTTCAGAGCTGAACAATTAACATAAGGGGCATGAGTCAGGCTTTGAACAACTCTGTGGGAACCAGAAAGCCTTTTGCTATTAGGAATGATGTAAATTCCCCAAGGCTGGAAGAAGCCCACAATGGAAGGCAGACAGGGTCATAAATAACAACAATGGGTTCTGCATCCACTGTATCAAGTGTGGTACAGCGATAGCGACAGGCTCTTCAAATCTCAATCTCAGTGTGGATTCAGCCGCTGACTTAGTTATGTCTAAAGAGCACCATGTATTTCCTCTGGGAACTTCAAAAAATGTCTTTAAGAAATACAGCAGTCTATTCTTGTCTTAAAGTCCTCCAACAACAGGGTCAGGAATGTCTTTTGAAGAAAAGTGACAGGGGTTAGGGGGAAATGTCCAGTTCAGAAGTATAAAACCTGTGACTTCAAAAAAGAGAGAGTGGGGGAGAAAAGGGGAGGATAAGGGGAAGGAAGGAGGGAGGCAAGATGGAGTAAGAAAGGGGAAGGCAGAGAGAGAATACACACACACACACACACACTTCTGAGTACACACTCAGCAAGGCTGGTCTGTAGCTTATAAATTAAAACCACATTTGGCAATTTGTTGAAGAAGACATATTTACATTTGTATGAAGAAGACTGGGTGGACAGGAAAAAAATGATTAGTCTCCTTCAGTCCTTGAACTGTCAAGACTCGTTAGACTTCTCTTGTTCATACATTTCTAGGGTCAGTTTACATCCCCTTGTTACTAAATTGCAGCTTGTGGTCTCTAGTGCTGTCCCCTTGACTCACTCTCCTAAAGACACAGCCATCACCTGGGAATAGGATTTCCCAAGGGATTTTTTCCTGATTACTGCTTTTCTAATCTGGCATAAAAATGAAACCCACCACTTACTATAGACAATACTCGAGGATGCAAACAGATAGAGCTCACTAGTCCTGCTGCTCTGTGCTGAAGCATGCAGGGCTGATATCACCACTCTTTAGATTTTGCCTGAGCAATGAATTGTCAAGCAATACAAGCAATTCAGACAAATCTATCATATTCAAAGAGGCTAGCAAGCATTTAATTCTTTCAGGTTCGGAGAAGGCATGCTGTGGAGGTCAGGTAGGAAGTAAACTAACCAGGAGGGCACATCACAACCTGAAAGCGTGCTGGCCATCTAGGACAAGGACAAATTGTGTGAATACCATTTCTTGGCACACTCTATTCCTAACCACTTAACCAATTCCTGCCACTTCTTTTCGTTTCATTTTTTTGGTTCTAGATTTACAGCTTTCTATCTGAGCAAGTACAACAGAAGCAGGACAAGCTACTGCCTCCACAAGTCTAACCTGGGAGGATACCCTGCAGTCAATAACTTGTGCAGCCCAAGTAGGCCCTAGGGCAAAGGGGTCAGGCCTCTTATTATCTTTCTGGAGACCAGTGAATATACTTCAGGGTTGAAGGCAGTCCAAGCATGCCCCACTATACAAATTCAAAGGGAAGGCTGGCCTGACACAGTGTGAAAATGCAATGAGGAAGGACATATGCCATGCTGTCTGCTCAGATCTGGGGAACATTCAATTCCCGGACTAAAAGGAGGATGGAGGGCATCCCCACCAAAACAAGATTGACAGCTAGGCCACACTTGTTACCTCCAATCAGAGAACACACAGGTTTGAAATGTCCTTGAATTAATGGTCAATATTCAAGCTACAAGAGAACCTGGAAACTGTGAGTAACCTCTTGGTTACTTCCACGCTGACCTGACTTACTGAACAGCAATTTTGAACATTGTGGGGTAAATAAGGAAAGGGGCTTAAAATAGCAAAGAAAACCCCTTGCTCTTGATCTTGAGTTAGGACCTTCTCAGAGAGTCTGTAAGACCAGCTTAGACTCTAACAGAAGACTGGCTGCAGCAGAGGCACCAAGGCAGGCCCCTCCCCCCCCCTTTAAAAAGAATCCTAGCATTCATTTCGTGGAAGTTCTGATTCACAAGGTCTGAGGTGGGGCTAAGAGATCTATACTTAGGTTCCCAGGTGATTCACACTCTGCTGATATACATGAAACAACATCAGAGAAAGAAAGCAATAGAGAAATTAACTCGACCTGGTGCAATGAGACAAACAAGACTTTGCAAAGTGTGCTAGCATTATCCAGCAAAATCACCTTGGGAGCTTGTTAAGAAATGTTACAGATTCCACCCAGAATCTACTGCATTTGTATCCCTAGGGGCTGGGGTCAAGGAAGGTATATTTTGGGCAAGATCCCCAGTGATTCTTATACCCAGCAGAATTAGTGAAGTGCTTTAAAAACACATGGTACTGGTAACTGAACAAAATCTAGTAGAATGACCCAATCAGATATCACTGAACTCCAGCAGACAGAGCCTGGAGCCCTTAGTGAAAAGGCATACACCAACAGGAAAAGACCTTGTCTCATGGAGTTCTGTTAACAGGAGAAATAAACAAATATACAACATGGTTTTTGGCCCCCTACCCTAAATTCAGCTATTGCCAATGTCAATGTTAAGAGGCAATTTAAGTTGTGAAAATTTATTCTCATGAGTGACATCAGGCTCCCTTAGAGAGATCAACAGGGGAAGTTCATGCTGGCCCTTCTGTCTTTCATCACATGAAGACATGTTCCCCCCCTCTCTCAGATGATGTAGCAGTAAAGTACCAACTTGGAAGCAGAGATCAGACTCTCCCTACAAAGAAAGGCCACTGGTCCTTGTTCTTCGATGTCTCAGCTTACAATTCATCAAAATATAGTTCTGTTCTTTAGCTGCCAATGCAAACTGGGGAAATTCTTCCATATGGTGTCCAAAGCCACTCAGAGGAGATCTACAGGGGAATGAGTTTGGATAGAAAAGGTACATGAAAAGATGTTGAAGATGAAGAAAAGGGGACAAAGGAACCACTGGTAAGGAAAGAGAACCATAGTGTCCCCAGAGGGAAGAAAAGAAGAGAAATGAAACATCAATGGACATGCTGCTGAGAGGAGAATGCAGGCCCTTAGACCACAGCAAAAATGAAACGCTACCTGGACAGGAGGTAGCTGTTCTGGGTAAAAGCAGAGACTTAAGCACTTACCATAGGTAGAAGGAAGTCAAGATGATAACAGACTCAGAACTCTAGAGTACAAACATAATGTGAGCTGGACAAGTAACCTGAAATTGTCTATAGGCCATTGAAGAAGTAAAAGAAAATTGGTGAAATTAAATTTCAATATATTATTGAACAACATCTATAAAATATTATAACATGTAACCAATATAAACATATTGAGCCATATTTATACACTGAGTTTATGGCAGCCAGCCAAACATTCAGACTTCATATAGAGTGTATCAACTTGCCTTTCAAATGCTTACAGGCAGAATGCGGTCATTGGCCAGTACAGCTCTAGACAATGCTTTGGGAGCATTTCTCATTAAGGAAAAGCAGAGAAATGAAGGTGCATGCAATGTTACTCCCAATATAGTCTAGTGACGTGGGTCTTATTACTGTTACCACTGCCCAGGGTTAGGTGCTGTTGATCAGGAACTAATTCAACATGAGCAAACAGCATGATGCCAGTGACTAGATAACAAATGTAGCTTCTTCTGGGAAAGCCTTGTAGATGATTTTCTAGCATTCACTTAGAAACATTGGGACGTCAATATTAGTTGAGGCTGGAATTGGGTTGAGATGTGGAGGACCAGGTC